AAAGAAGAGAACCATTTGGGGACAACATTGGTGGCGTCGAAGTCTTCGAGGATGCGAGAAATAGCCTTGAATAGACTAATGGCTCGAGTTTTGACGGATTCCAGGTTCAGTTGCTGTTGAACGGCGGGGTTCGGGCCCTCCGCCACCCTGGGCGGCTGTTGCTGCTGTTGATCTTGAGTTCCTTAGCTGCCACAGGCGCGTTTTCAGTCCGCCGAAAAACAGGCTGCGCCGGCAGCCAAGTCTCACACTTGACTTCAGCCTGCTCCAACACTTAGCCAAAATTACAGCAATTTTGGACTTAGAATACAGGAAATTTCTTTCCCAACTTTATATTTAACTTGAGCATACAAAAGAAACTCAATACAAAAGAAGATCACTCCTCCTGACCCTCACAAGACTACTCTTAGCCTTAGATGTTTTCACTCTTAGAAAACCAGACTCAAGACTCTTTCCTGACTCAATGTGTACTCATACACGTTTTTTCTCCTCTGCCAAAAGCATAAGGATGCTGCCCATTTATAACAATATGAGACAACCCTCTTTGCCCTTACACTTGTGGCACTTAAGCTTAGACACTTGTCCCACACAACCCACTATTTTAGCCTAATGTAGTCCCAACTACTAGGAACATGTAAAGACCATGCTAAAATAATGGAAACATGGCAAAAAACGTGCTAACTCCCATCTGCCAGCATTTTGAACAAAGCCAATTGCTTCCCATGTGCCGTAACCGCCATTGATTTGGTCAATCTGAAGCTTGCTGCCCATTTTTGTGCATTGGCTTAAATCGGGCGTCAATGCCATTGTATCTAGCTGCATTGTAGCCACATTTTTGCCTATGACATTGCCCACGAACATGGTCTTTTGCCGCGCCCCAATGCCATGACAAGTCTGTCGCGTGCACTATCTTCCGTTGCACTTTAGCCTGCCTTGCCACTTCGTTTTTGCCTTGCCTTGGCATCACTGCCTCATGCCTTGATGCCTTTGCCATAATCAAGTGTCACCCTCAGCCCCCAACTCATTGTCAAGCCCTTGCCAAGCTGCCTCGCCTCCGTCAAAGCCTTGACCATCACTTGCCTGTTTCCCTTTTTGCCTTGGTGCTACTCGTGCACCTAGCTTGCAACACTCTAGCTGCCTCATGACAGCACTCTCGTTGTCAAGTCAAGCTCAAAGTGGCGGAGGTCTAACAAACCACCCACACCCTTTTAAACTCCACGTCCTCGTCGAGGTTAGCTCAATTTATGAGTCCTAAGGGGTTGACCAGCAACGCCTTTGGCCTCCCTTTTCTTCGGCCACAATTGCATTCACTCCAGCCACTTGTTTGTTGCTGGTCATTTTCTCTAATACAACCCTCTTGTCCGCGGCAGTCATAGCATTTAACACTGTCTTCTTCAGGCAGTCCCTTGCTCGATGTGGCCCATCACAAAGTAAACAACCACTGAATTTGTTGCCCTTCTCCTTGCTCTTTGAAGTTCCAGTCTCATGCTTTCCCTTCCCCTTGTCTTCATTAGCATTGTTGTTTTCACATTTCTTCCACTCCTTAGCCTTGTTCTTCTTTCCTCGTTGGACTTTGAAGCAGAAATCTCATCACTTAAGTGAAAATCGCCCAATGCATCAGCCGTAGCCACATCACTTGTGAGATTTTGAATATTCTGCCGACGCAACTCCAATTGTGCCCACTGTTGCAACCCGCTCATGAAGTTGTGCAATTTGTCTTCTTCCGACATATTGCTGATGCTCAACATCAAAGAAGTGAATTCTTTAACATATGCTCTAACTGATCCGGTTTGCCTCAACTTTTTCAGTTTGTCCCTAGCAATCCAAGACGTATTGCGAGGAACGAACTGATCCTTAAATTCCTTTTTATGCCGCTCCCACGACTCAATCTTTGGCCTGCCCAAACTTTCATCTTCAGTCACACGAGTGCGCCACCATAACTTAGCATCTTCACTCAAATACATGCTAGTCAAGGTTACTTTCTCCTTCTCATCTTGCACACGAATAACATGAAATTATTGCTCCATATCCCAAAGAAAATTCTCCAATTCACGTGCACTCCTTGCACCACCAAATGCCTTAGGTTCAGGAATTTTCACCTTGAGACGATCAACACCACGTTGAGGAGCATCCTCGCCCACAGCACGTCGCAGCACCACTGTCTCAATTTTTCAGATCCGCATTCTCTGGACTTAGCCTTGCTAATTCTGCCTCAAGGTAGGCAAGCCTTGTCACGAGAGTCTGAATTTATTCACCATCAAGAACATTTCCCACCAATATCTCCAGTTTTGTTAGCCTTTCCCGCAGTTCGTTGTTACCACCGACCATGTTCTCAAACAAGACCACAAAATCTGCCACTGCCCGTTATGTCTCCGTCACGATCCTGCTCCGTTCTGATACCAGTTGTCACAGGCGCATTTTCAATCTGCCGAAAAATGGCCTGCGCGGCAGCCAAGTCTCACACTTGACTTCAGCCTGCTCCAACACTTAGCCAAAATTACAGCAACTTTGGACTTAGAATATTTTAGGCAGCTTTTCAACATAGTAAGTTTAGGACTAATTTTAGGCAACAGAAATAAGTAAAGGCAACAGAAATTTAGATGAACACAAGGCACAATATACAGGAAATTTCTTTCCCAACTTTGTATTTAACTCGAGCATACAAAGAAACTCAACTCAAAGTATAGCCGTGTACAAAAGAAGATCATTCTTGACTCTCACAAGGTTACTCTTAGCCTTAGGTGTTTTCACTCTTGAAAACCAGACGTAGGACTCTTTTCTAACTCAATGTGTACTCATACACGTTTTTTCTCCTCTGCCAAAAGCATAAGGATGCTGCCCATTTATAACAATATGTGACAACCCTTTTTGCCCTTGCACTTATCGCACGCAACCCGCTATTTTAGCCTAATGTAGTTGACATCCCCCAACTACTAGGAACATGTAAAGATCATGCTAAAATAATAGAAACATGGCCAAAAACGTGTTAACTTCCATCTGCCAACATTCTGAACAAAGCCAACTGCTGTCCATGTGCACAGCATGTGCCGTAACCGTCATTAACTTGGTCAATCTGAAGCTTGCTACCCATTTTCGCGCCTTGGCTTGAATCAGGCGCCTATGCCATTGTATCCAGCTCCATTGTAGCCACATTTTGCCAATGCCATTGCCAACGAACATGGTCTTTTGTCGCGCCCCAATGCCATGACAAGTCTGTCCCGCACACTTCTTCCGTTGCACTTTAGTCTTCCTTTGCCACTTCATTTTTGCCTTGATGCCTTTGCCATGATCAAGTGTAACCCTCAGCCCGCAACTCATTGTCAAGCCCTTGCTAAGCTGCCTCGCCTCCGTCAAAGCTTTGGCCATCACTTGCTTGGCCGTTTCCTTTTTTGCCTTGGTGCTACTCGTGCACCTAGCTTGCAACACTCTTGCTGCCTCATGACAACGCTCTCGTTGTCAAGTCAAGCTCAAAGTGGCGGAGGGCTAACAACAGCCAACAATGCCCTAAAACCTTGCTTATTCCATTCTTTTTGGCACGACTAAAAAGAAAATTAATAAATTAAAATGGCGGGAGTATAATATTTGTAAGTTGCTATGAATTCATAAGTCGCGTTCAGTGAATGGTTTTTCCATGCGATTTATATGTCGCATTCTGCAAATGCGATTTATACCCGCATTCATTTTTTCATTGCAATTTATAAGTTGCACCGTATTATAATTGTCACCTATAAGTCGCATCGTATTATAATTGCCACCTATAAGTCGCATTCATAATTGCGATTTATATGTCGAACTCCCCATTTTGTATTCGATTATGATTTATACTTCGTATTCCTCAATCACAAGTTATGAAAGAAAATTACATTTTACAAATCCAGTTTAAGTTAACGAACGTTACCTCAATTAATTTAGACATGTAAATTGCATTTCATTTATTCATTTTNCCCCAACTTTTGAAAGCTATTTATTATGAGCTTTTTTATTATTGTTCCTTTTTGTATCGAAATACACCATGAATATGTGTACCAAAATTAATACTTAGTGTGCGTTTGTATAATTGCCGAGGTAGTAATTAAATACACATTGTAATATTTGCCCAATATAATAATTATAAATATATTTATCTATTATAATACAATTACAATATAACTGTCAAAGCTATATTTGACTGCACAAGCATAATTTCATAATTAGATACTTTTTATTTAAAATAAAAATTAATTATAAAAATTTAAGTAATTTTTTAGATTAAATGTAAACAAAATTTTAGTGTGTGACAGATATATATGTGTATAATATTAAATAATATTTATTATCAATTATGTAAACTATATATTTTTATTTGTAAAATATAACTATTAAATATTTATAAAATAGTTACTAATATCGTAAAGAATAATTAGTATTTTCCAAATAAATATTCACTTGAACTAGTTAATAAAATTTTTAAGTTTGAATTTGAAATCTTTACCAAACCATATAAATATAAGATGAAATCATGATTTTTGCATTATTTGAATAACAAAAAATAACAAGATGTGAGTTTAAAAAATATTTTCTAAGACAAAAAATTGTACCAATGGATTGAAAAGAAAGCTAGGAAATGCGAAATCTTTTTTAACAATTAAAGAAAAAAAGGAGGAAAAAAAAAGAACTAAAAAATAAAAAAGGAAGAAGCAAATTACAATATGAGCAGTTGCAAAATTGCATAAACCCATACCATAAGGTAGGTTTCCCAAACATATCCTTAGCAATGTGTAAGGGTCAACAACTGTAAAAGGAAAAAACAATCCATTTGGAAAGTCCCGTCGTGTCGTGTCGTGTCCTGTTTCCAGGTGTCGATCTCCTTGTGCCGGCAAAACCTCCGAAGCTCATCCGCTCCATTATTATCAGATTGTCAACTTGGCCAAATGTCTTCGTTGAAGCATCTCCAGATCATCATCAACTTCTCTCGAACATCCTTCAGGTCCGTTAGTCTTCTCCTTCTACATCGTTGCGGAACACCGACTTTTCATCTTTATAGTTCGGATTCATTTTGTTTCGTAGCTCAACACTGCTTAAAACAAGACTTCGTCCTGATTCAACCTTTTCCCTAACTTCTTCCGGAGTTAGGGTTCAATTTATAGAAAGCTTATTGTATACGTGCTAGGAATTGGCTGAATCATCTTTCAATTTCTAGAAAGCTTATTGTCTTAGTGCTACCTCAACCCCCCAACATAGGCTTTTTGGTTTGCTAGTTATGATTTGTGTTTTTTTCTCAATTTCCCCTTGTCATTTCTTTTAAGTTCCCTCTCCTATTACTCTATCGATCGTACTGGTTAGAAAGAGTTGATTAATATCATAATGACGAGATGGACTAATTCACCACATTGAGTTGTTACCTGTTGCTGTGGTTGATGCGTCATTTTCATCTGGAAAGACACTAGTCACCTGCTACCACTCAGCTGTTACATTGACTTATTGGGAATGCTTACACTACTTGAATTAGCATTGTTTCTTTTTGTTTTTTTAATTGTGCGGAGGCCTTGTGAAATGAATTCACAGATTGTGCTATAACATATTGCTCTTTTTTACAGTTGCGCCAACGGTTCCCTTTCTTTGATGTATCTCTTCTTGCCACTAAAACATGAATTCCTTGACACAGTATAATGTTTGTCACAAGATAGAATATACATCTACAATAACTTGATAAGTCATTTCGCCATATAGGCTGTCCTTGCATATAAAGTTCTGATTCTACATATGAACCACTTGGATGGTCGAAAAGTTTGAAAATGAGTGAAATTTCACTGAAAATGTATGATGTCAGATGTAGTGCCTTTCTGAGAATGATTTTTTCTTCATCATCACCAGGGGTCTTTGTATTAAGCTGATAGTCTTATCAAATTTCATGCAGTTACAGAGGTAATTTTGTACAAAAATGGTCTTGTAAAGCTTATTTCAGTGGTAACAAAGTAAATTAGGCAAAAAGATCATCTTGCAAAAATGCTCATGAAGCATTTCTAGCAATAAGTGGATGGTCCTTTAGCAACAATCATATTATCCTGCACATTACAGAGTGTCGTTGGCATTGTAAACATTATTTGATTAGCTGCTGTTTTTGAATAGGCGAACCTAAGACAGTGTATTTTAAGTGGGCTTCAAATTCCTGGTTTTCTCAGTTATTTTACCGTTTTGCAGTTTTCCCACTCTCAGCTGAAATGGTCTGTAGGGACAATAGCCCCCGTGATGAGATTTACAGCTTAATCTGGAGTCAAGATTTTTCGTGATGCGAATAGTGTCAAATGACAGTCTGGTAGTGGATAGTTCGGAAATAGAGCCCATCTTATCTCATATTGCCATTGTCGAGGAATCTGCGGACACTTCACCTTCAACTGAAATCACATCGAGCGAGGATTGTTTGGAGACTGCTGGTCACCTGTCAAGTGTTGGAGTTGACGGAATTCAATCTTTGTCACATGCAGAACTATCCCAATGTCGCATATGCCTGGACAGTGAAGGTGTTGATTATGCACTTAGTTATCTGTAGACCTTCAGGAAGATATATTTCTCAATGATAAAGAGTATCTTTTCGGCTACGTGATTGTAATTACATATATACTTAGAATTGTTGTTGTTTACTGTACTTACAACTGGAAGTTTGGTGACTGATTTTCAGGAGAAGATCTGATTGCACCCTGCCACTGTAAAGGAACCCAAAAGTATGTCCATAGATCATGTCTTGATAACTGGAGATCAACTAAGGTGAATTACCTTTTGCATGTTATCTTTAAATAGTTAGTGTCCATGTCCTAAAAGTAGCGGAAATTAAAATTCCATTGGATAACATAAATTTTATAATCAGACTGCTCTGCAATTAGTTTACATAAAAAAGACCATGAAGCAATGCATAGAGCAGTTTACGTTGGAAACCTGACAGAATATCTGGAAAGCATTCCCCCAAATTATCCATTGTGAAGAACTAGTATGTGTTCATCTAGCTTTATAGCCCTTGAACTGAGACAGGGTATTTTATGGTCGTTAGCACTTATGCTATTGAAAGAAGCTATTAAACAATCTCATAAAGTGTTAATTCCATGTTTGCATAGTCCTTCCAGTTTAACCCAAGCAGTAAAAGGAGGTTCTCTTCTTTTTCCTCATTACTTTTTCCTCTCTTCTCCTCTTTTAACTTAGTCCCTTTTATTCATGATTCCCTCGGTGAATTTGTGGAGATAGTTAGAATTATTTGAACTATTGTGAGACTTTGGGTGAAATTCTTCCTATTTTTCAAGAATCAAGATTGGGGTGCTACATGATTTTATCATGAAGATGCATATATATTTTAATCCTATTGCTTTCTCATAGCAGTTGTGTTCGATCAATACTAATAGTGGTCGATGGACATCTCGTTAATTCTTTGAGTTTGCTTTTTTGCATTAAAAGTCTAAATTGTTCTTTGAAGAAAAAGGGATCACATACTTTCAAATTGTCATAAATGGTTATACTTTGTATAAGAGACCTGTTGTCATCTTCTTGGCTTAATGTTGTTGATGTGTTTGCGGCTCCATTTTCCAGGAGGGCTTTGCTTTTGCTCACTGTACTGAATGCAGGGCAAAGTTCATATTACGGGCAAATGTCCCACCTGATCGCTGGTGGCTGAGGCTAAAATTCCAGTTCCTTGTGGCAAGAGATCATGCATTCATTTTTCTCATTGTCCAGTTGGTATGGATATAAATCTGNATGGACATAAATCTTTTGCCATATCTTTCATTCTGTCTTATGTTCCTACCAGTTTTATAGTTGAAAAGTGGTGTATCTTGGCTATGGTTTATCTGTACCGAAGTTGCATGTAGCTATACTTTTCGTTTATGCTCTTCTAGCTTTGTATTTATTTACCACACGCTCAACGCCTTAATTCACTAGTCCAAAGGTGGATCTTCAATGTTGTCAGTATGTTTTCTTCTGGGCTGCTGTCAGTAACTTACTATTCTTGTGATGGTGGTTTTACCATAATGCACAAGAAGATATTGAGGCCCTTCTACAAGAGTCCCCATCAGGTTTCTCAAAGTAGAGTCCAGAGGATCGGCCCCAGACGGATTTCTCGGTCATCAAAAAAAAAAAAAAAAAAAAAAAAAAATTTCTCAAAGTAGAAGATCTTCACGCTACTGCCAAGCACAAGATTTCCGGAGTCTTTTCACTTTTTTTACTTGAAAGAGAGCTTTGAAAGTCTTAATGACTTAATTAAGGCTGTGTGAAGCCTTGAGCTAATTTTTTGCTATTTTTATTAAAATTTGGTAAGGAAGATATTGGAATCTGATGTAAGTGTCATCTAGCACTTCGGATGCTATACAGCTAGATTTATGTCAGTGAATTTTCATATATTTAAAAGGGCCTGGGGATTCAGTTAATGGACAAAAAATGATAACAAGATTCTACACTAGCAATTAATCAATTTTGCTTCCACCAAATCAGCTAGGACCAGTTATATGAGTCCTCTGTACCAAACAGCTTGGAAGTGAATCTGCATTGAGCATGTAATGTACAAAATCTAGGGAGAAAAGCTAAACTTTGGGCCCAATGGATGTATAAATCGTTGAGTTTTTGTTTGTAAAATTGCAGCTTTTCAATCTTATATAATTGTTTCCATGCATATTAATTGTTTCCAGTAAAGAATCTGTATTTTTGGTGTTATAGCAGTAGTCTGGAATTCTGGATAGGGTGGATTAGTACTTGGATTTTTTGTACCTATTAGGGGGAAACATGTAGTATGCCTGATGTAAGAGCTGCAGATATGTCTTGTACCTTTTTTCTGTACCATCTTGGTACCAGTTTAATAAAAATCTTTACCTTATCAACAAAAAAAAATGTTTCCAGTAACTGTCATCTTTACCTTATAAAAAAAAATGTTTCCAGTAACTGTCTCTACTGACTGTTGAATGAACAATTCTCACAGATTGTAGCATTCTTAGGAGTACTTGTGTACAAATTTTACGGGGAGGAACTAAGGGAAATGTTTGGCTACCGAGAGCATCCATATGGCTTTTATACAATGGCAGGTATTTTCTGACTTAATCCATCATTAACCTTCTTTTAAACTTGTGAACCACTGAACGTATGCTTGTGGGTTCACAAATCACATCTTGGTTGCGTATCTTTTTGTCATAATATATTCAGTGTTGAACACTGATCATCTATCCAAAGTTTCTAAATGTATAGTCCTTGTTGTTTGGTTTAGAAACTATTTGGTTGTGGGAGGATTGGTTTTGGTTTTGGTTTCTTTTTCCTAGAAAAGTTGTAAGTGTTTTGAATTGGGTTTAGGAGAACAAACTGAATTAACATCTTTAGCTACCATTACATGTATTTTTGGAAAATAAATTCTGAGGAAAAAATACAAGAATTTGATTTTGGCGATTAGGGGAGAAACTTCATTGTCCAAAACCTGAAAGAGGGGTGAAAGGAAAAGGTGCTAGCATTTGTTCTTTGTTTTGTTTTCAAGAAAGCTGTCACTGCTCTATTTTTAGGTAGGTTTTGATTTCTCCATGATGATTGTCCATTAACGATGGTTATTTGCCAAGATACCTACGATGGGAATAATTTCCTTGGCTGATGCATATATACATGGAAAAGGCAAACAGATACCTCTTACCCCCTTCCTTAACAGTGTGGAGATACTTGGAGACTGGATACATTGATTGCAATATACAATATCCTGACATTTAAACCTTATGTGAGGTTGATGCTGAGACGCTGTAATGTGCTTTATGTGTATTTAAACATTCAGCTCAACCGGCTCTAGGGGAGGAAAAATAAGCATGGTATGATGTGGTCTATGAGAAACAAGGGAAAGGACAATAAGATTAGGATTCAGATGCTTGAATTTTTAAAATTACAACCAGAAGATTTGAGTCGTCAGAATCTTTTTTGGAGTAGAATTAGTTTTCTAGAAGACTGTGACAAAGGGAAATGTGTCCTTCATTTGGTGCATCTACTGCAGCCATTCCAATAAAGTTTACTGGATTGAAGATATTCCTGTGCAAGATTTGTGCCTTCAAAATGATTTGAGCCTTCAAAATGATTTGAGCCTTTACCTTCCCAACTCCTTACTAACTAACCGACTAATATGTCTTCTTTGGTTTAATTTTGCAGTTTTGGCAATCATATTGGTCGGGTTGCTTTATGGTTTCTTCATAGCAATAATTTGTGGACAGAGAATTAGTGAACGTCATTATCACGTTCTTGCCAAAAAAGAACTCACAAAGGTTTTGCATCTACTGCTAAGACATAGACTTGTTCCTTTCACCTTCTAATTGGAGACGAACATCTGTTAGTGAAATATTGAAAAATTTGCAAGTTGAGCAGTGTCAGGCCCCTTTCCTTGAGAATATAATTCACCTTCATAAGGGGCTTCTTTTCATGCTCACTGGATTTTATTTGTGGATAATCTTAGTTCCACCTCTTCAATCTAACCTTTCATTATGGGAGTACTCCCCTTGTTTTAATAAGAAATATTTAGGGGTCGTTTGGTTTGCGGTCTAGTTATGTGAGAGTTATTATGTAGATATTGTTTATATGGTGAATAATAATGCAAGGATTGTTATGGGTGAAATAATGCATGAATAGTTATGCGGTGAATAATAATAGGCAGATAATTATGTAGTTATGTAAGACAGTAAGAGTATGTAGTTAGATCCTCTTATCCACGTATAGCTAATACATCTATGCATCTCGTACAAGTTATACCGGAATTATAGTGCAGTGTTTGGTTACCGATATTAAATTCTGCATCCTGCATAACTAATTTAATCTCTTTATAACTAATACATGGTTTTCTTTATTAAACTCCGCTTAGGTTTTCTTCATCAGAAACCAAACGATGTATAAGTAATATGGAATTTATATGGAGATAAAATTTTCTTGTGCGTCAAACCAAATGATCCCTAAATGTTTAATTTGCTTATACTTTTATTTTTGTATTGACAGGAATACGTGGTAGAAGATCGGGAAATGCTAGATAAAGAAGTTCCGGAACTTGACCCTAGCCACGTTACGGAGCTAAGAATGTTGGGGCTTTACTGAGATTCATGTCAGTCTAGGTTGGTAGTCTAGATACAAAGACATGCAGTATTTATATGTTGAAATTACACACAAAATTTTGGTCATATTGACATGTTTGGTTGCACAAATTATACTGCTCCACCCTTTCTGGTATTAGGTGTGATCAAGAATAGGCACTAGAAAGCTAATCCGAAAAAGAATAACTCTTAAAAATGATATTGAAAACCTTGGTAATTATGAGTATCAATGTTTTAATTCAAGAGTGGAAGCGGGTCAGTCCCCGAAAATGCCAGGTACTTTGGGGCCAAATAAGATTATTAACTGGCTTATCCGCCATTGCTATCGTAAATTGACTATCCTGTTAATGCACCAGCTCCTAGCCTGTCGTGCTCTTCCAGTTCTATTTTGAGAGTCATCATAACTCTTTTGGACCTATAAAAAGAATGTCTGGGCTCTACTAAGATTCATGGCAATCTAGGTTGTTAGTCTAGCTACAATGACATGCCATATTATATTTTCAAATTACACATGAAATTTTGGTCATATTAACATGTTTGGTTGCTTAAAGTTATACTGCTCCAGCTCCACCCGTTCTGGTATTAGGTGATCAAGAATAGGGACTAGAAAGCTAAAAGAATAACTTTATTAGGTGATCAATTATCTTTGCATGACTGTGTTATTGTTTTCCCAAGATTTGATATATTTTGCATCATACAACATATTCATGACAAAAAAAAAGAGATGCTTAGTCGCAATCCCTCGTTTTTTGAGTTCTGATATATGTAATTTTTTCTTGCTGACTTTGTCTTGTACTTGTATTAACAACAACATACTCAGTATAATCCCATATAGTAGGGTCTGAGGAGGGTAATGTGTACGTAGACTTTACCCCTACCTTTGTGGAGGTAGAGAAGCTGTTTCCAATAGACCCTCGGCTCAGGCAAGCATGGTACCACAATAATAACAAGAAAGAAGACGGGACAACACCAAAAAATCATGTAAAAGCAGCATACACAACAAGATAGTAATATGATCGAAATGTAAAAAGAATAATAATTAAAAAAAATAGGTATTCAAATAAGCCTACTACCAACCAAATGAGAGAGTACGTACTAACACTACCGGTATGAATAATCTAGACTACCTAACCTACTATTCTAATCCTCGACCCCCACACCTTCCTATCACGGGTCATGTCCTCAATCAGCTGTAGTTGCGTCATCTCATGCCTAATCACCTGTCACGGCCCCGGTTCGCCCTCCGTGAACCATCGTGACGACACCTAATCTCTACAACTAGGTAAGCCTAAAATGCGGAAGATAAACCAAACTGCGGAAAGAAAACAATTTTAAATAGAAATAGTGTAAAAACAACATTTGAAAGTGCCACTCGGCATATACAGTACCAACTCTCATAAAGTAATACAGTTTTTTCAAAACCCGGAAACCCATGAATTACAAGCTACGAATATAATAAAAATGCTCTAACTCCAGAATGTTTACACAACAGAAGAAAATAGAAGGGTTATTACTACAAGATAGAATGGAAAGGGACTACTCGGTCTGCGGACGCGTCAGATATACCTCGAAGTCTCTGGAGCAGTCGCCTCGCCTTAAGGGTGATAGGACTGAGTCAAAGTACCTGGATCTGCACATGAAAAACATGCCCAGAAAGGCATAAGTACACCACAATGGTACTCAGTAAGTGCCAAGCCTAACCTCGGTCGGGTAGTGACGAGGAAAGTCAGGGCCCTATTAAGATAAAATAAAAATATAAGGTATGACAGTATAAGATAAGCAGTACAGTTGAAAGCTAACAATAAGAATTTAATACAGGAAAACAAGGAATTCAATAACTGAAACAGAGACAAAACAATCACAAAGAAATAACCGGGGATCTCTCAGTATTCCGGGGATCTCTTAGTATCTCGAGGATCTCTTAGTACCCTCAATATATGCCAGGGATCTCTTGGTTTTCCGAGGATCTCTCGGTATCCTCAATATATGCTAGGGATCTCTTGGTATCCCGAGGATCTCTTGGTATCCTCAATATACGTGCTAGAGATCTCTCGGTATCCTGAGGATCTCTTGGTATCCGTGCTAGGGATCTCTCGGTATCCCGCACCTCAGCTCAAATCATAAATACGTGCAGGGGATCTCCCGAGATGCCGTCTCGTAGTCCCAAAGTAAAACACGCAGCAACAACACAATGAATACTCATTTAAGCTCAATTTCATACCAAGTAAACATGTAATTCTAACCTAACATACTTCACGTAATACAATTAAGGTAGGTTAAGCTAGTAAGCAATTAAGTCAATTAAATATGCTCTTCTAGGCTAACAATAGGCTTAAATTGCAAGTAGTATAAGACAGGAAAAAGGAACACAATTAAAATTACTTAAAGAAAACCGGATTTTCAACAATTAGCTCAAGTACGCACTCGTCACCTCACATACAAGGCATTTCAATTATCAAATATACCAAATCCTAAGGGGAAGGTCCCCCACACAAGGCTAGCCAAGCCACTTACCTCGAACCAGCTCAAATCAATCCGAAACCACGCTCTTGCCACGAGTACTCTACTCCAAATGACCTAAATCTATTCAATTCAATTGCATAATGTAAATAACACTTTAAGTAACTGATTCTACAAAGAAATTCTAAGCTAATACGCGAAATTAGGTAAAATGACCAAAACGCTCCTCGGGCCCACGTCTCGGAATCGAGTAAAATTTACATTTTCAGAAACCTCACACTCTCACGAGTTCAGTCATACCAAAAGTACCAAAATCGAACCTCAAATGATCCCTCAAATCATCACTTAAAGGTCTCTAATTAGTCAAGCCCTAACCCCTAAATTACCACTGATTTTCCTTAATTTTTCATGCTTATAATGATAAAAATAACTCCAATAACGAGTTTAGGGACCAAAGACTTTACCCCAATGAACTCCTCTGAAAATCCCTCTTGAAAAATGCTCCCCAAGGTTCTTTCCGTTTGAAAAGAGGTGAAAAATAGCTAAATTTCGCGAAGGCAAGTATTTATATGTTTCTGCCTAGTTAATCCGCTTCTGCGGCCCTGGGACTTCATCTGCGGTCCCGCTTCTGTGAGGACATGGTCGCATCTGCGACCTTTCACTTAAAGACCAACTTCCGCACCTGCGATTACCCATTCGCAGATACGGTACCGCTTCTGCGGTAAGTCTCCCGCATCTGCGGACCCTGCTGATCCTCCCCAATTCCGCTTCTGCGATTTCTCCGCCGCTTCTGCAGCTCCACACCTGCGGGACCCAACCGCAGGTGCGGTTATGACAGATATCAGCAGCTTTAAACCACTTCCAATTCTTCCAACAACCATCCGAAATCATCCCGAGGCCCCCGGGATCTCAGCCAAAAGCACAAACAACTCTAATACCACTATCCAAACTTATACCAATCTTTGAAACACCTAAAACAACATCGAAGCAAAATCTCACCTAAAGCACACACGTCACATTCAGCACTACGGAGCTACTCCAACTTTCGGAATTCCATTCCGACTCTCGGATCAAAATCTCACTATCGAACCAGAAACTTCAAAATTCGACCTTTTGACATTTCAAGCCTAAATTAGCTACAGACCTCCAAAACACCATCCGATCACACCCCTAAGCCTGAAATCACCCAACGGAGCTAACTGAACCATCGGAATTCCATTCCGAGGTCGTCTTCACACTATTCCGACTACGATCAACTTTCCAACACTTAAGCTCTCATTTAGGGACTAAGTGTCCCAAAACTCCCCGAAACTCAAAACCGAACATGCTGGCAAATCAAAATAGCAGAAATAAACACGGGGAAAGCAGTTAATAGGGGATCGGGGCGTTAATTCTTAAGACGACCGGCCGGGTCGTCACATCACCTCATCCCAACTCTTCTTTGGCCTACCTCTACCTCTCCTAAAGCCCTCCAATGTCAACATCTCACACCTCTTTATCGAAGCGTCTGTGCTTCTCCTCCTCACGTGTCCAATCCTTCTAAGCCGTGCTTCCCGCATCTTGTTCTCAATAAGGTCCACACCCACCTTGTCCCGAATAACTTCATTCCGAATCCTATCTAATCTGGTATAGCCGCACATCCATCTCAACATCCTCATCTTGCTACCTTCATCTTCTGGACGTGAGAGCTCTTGGCTGGCCAATACTCGACCCCATACAACATAGTCGGTCTGATTACCGCTCTATAAAACATACATTTAAGTTTTGGTAGTAACTTCTTGTCCCGCTCCAATACGATGTATGATATTTTCATTAACTCCCCATCCCTTTATATAATAGACCCAAGGTACTTAAAACTCCCCCTTCTAGGGATGACTTATGAATCCAGCCTCACCTCTCCTTCCACTCCCTGAGTAGCACCACTAAACCTACACTCCAAGTATTCTGTCTTGGTTTTGCTCAGCTTGAAATCTTTAGACTCCAGGGTCTGTCTCCACACCTCTAACCTCGCGTTAATACCGTCTCGCATCTCGTCAATCAAAACAATGTCGTCTGCAAATAATGCCTTGTACTTGTATTCTTGGTAATATTTGAGTGGTTTTGCGGTTTTGTATCCAATGCAGCAGTGCACCTCACCCTCACTGGATTTTATAAATATAGTTTAACCGAGGGAACATAAGATAACTCCTGCCATCCTATGGTTATGCTGCCAAAAAATATGATTGAACCCAGTGTACTAAACCCGACTGGCTTTTGTCGAGGTGTGAAGGTTCTTTTTATAGCTTATAAACACTCGACCCATGGCGACAACTTACCTACTTTCAGAGGCAATAACTTCTCCCTGGAGAGCTTGTCAAACCTGTTAGTTTTCCTGTTGGTTCTCTTTCATTCCCTTATTAGTAGAATTTTGAAATCCCTGCTATCTACAAATGCACTAATTAAGCTGCTAAATTTTGGTCCCCTGTTTAATTTTATACTCTCGTTTAGGATTTTGTTGTGGTTGAGAACTGGATTAACAAAATTTCCTGATAATTGCCTCATTTTGGGTGCAGGCAATGATTGGCATATCAAATTAGCATACTTGTTACGGAGATGGGTGGCATTAGGCAAAAGAGCTGCAAACAATATCTTACACCATATGCCAAGTAATGATTATTATGGTTCACCTTCAAGAGTAAAAATTGCACGGGGCGCCCTATTTGGTCGCCCCCATTTAACCTATACCCATTTTTTTTAAAAAGTTTTAATTCGTACCCACTTTTTAAACAACTTCAGCCCCCTTTCTCCTCCTCCTTCTCCCAGTGATCTCCATATCTCTCCGGAACTTAACATTGATGTAACAATATAATGGCTCGATTTATCATGTGTTTCATTGGTTTGGTTTTTTATTAGTCTGTTGTGCACACAGTTATGAAGCAAGAAAAGTACTCTTGAACAACATGGAAAAGAAGAAGACTGATCCTAATCATCCTTCTCAAGAAAAAAAAAGCAAAAAAGATTTCATGCTTTAAGTTATTATGTTGTACTGTATGAAATGTCTTTTGAGCTTATGGGTGAATTAAGTGCTGATGTTTTCCTACTTCATTCTTGTACAGTTAAGAATCTTGTTCTTCTTCTCTAATTTTTATATGGAAAGTCTGTTAAAACTTCAACTATAAGAAAGTTGAAGTTCGCCAGTTACAAACAAAAACTTCAGCTCTAGAGTTGAAGTTCGCCAGTTACAAACAAAAACTTCAGCTCTAGAGCTGAAGTTTGACAATTACAAAATAAAAACTTCAGCTCTAGAGCTGAAGTTTGCCAGTTACAAAACAAGTTTGCAATTTACAAAACAAAAACTTCAGCTCTAGAGTTGAAGTTCGTCAGTTACAAAAACAAAAATTTCAGCAATTACAAACAAAAACTTCAGCAAATAGAGAACAAAACTTCATCTACTATGCTTAAGTTCAGCAATTACAAACAAAAACTTCAGCACACTTACTACTTCAGTCCCGTCTACTAGGATGCTGAAGTTTTGCGTGATTGCCTTTGCTACTTCAGCCCCTGCTGAAGTTACGCAAAAAAGTGGGTACGCTTGCAATTTTTTTTGCAAAGCGGGCACAAGTTAAAACGTGACCCAAAAACGGGTATAGATGCAAATGCCCCCCTTCAAGAGACAATTTTTCAACATCAAGATGAAAAAGCTTTTTCACCAAAAGAAAATGTCTTGTTCCACTTTAATTTTCTTTGGTAGTATAATTTTTTTCTCGATTGCCTCCCCTTGGCTATGGCAAATGGGTTGTATTTGAGTTGGTCAAAATGGACCGATTCAGTAAATGAGTTATTGCCCAACCGTGTCCATAATTTACTTGGCTTAAGATAGACTGAGTCAAGATGGCTAAATATTGGGCTGTAAACCCCTCCCTCCCCCTCCCCCCAAAAAAAAAATGTGGCTCCATTTTTTGCAATATTCTTAACTTCTAAACAAGTATATATATAAAATATTTTCACATATATAATAATAATTTTTATTTTCATTTCTCGTAAATATTATTCTGGAATGGTTTATGATGATGATTTCCCCCCTTTTTTTCTTGTTGTTCTTGTCTTATGTTTTGGTATAAATGTAAATTCAGGCTTAGTGATTTCTTTTCTTAATTTAGATTTATAACTTTATTTTCTAGTTCTTTTATCTTATAATACTAACAAAGATTGAAATAATAAAAAGCAGTAAAATTAGAACTTCGGATAAATTGTACAGGCATTTTAGCTTGAAATAATTTTCTTTAGTGAATCCATTTTGTGGAAGAGAGAATGGGAGAAAGAACACCGTGAAAATTTAGAGAGAATCCTGATATTTTTTTAGGATCGTTAGGAATTATTTTTTTAGGAAGAAAAATAAAAGGGATCAAAATGGATCTCTAAATTTGCGGGTGTTTACTTTTAAAATAGGTATGTCTTGTCAAAAAAGTATTAAGCCTTTTTGTAAACTAATTAAATGAGAAAATAAAGGATAAATCCTAGTCAAGGATAATTGACTCTAGATCAAAGAATATTGAATAAGAAAATAGGATATAATTAAGCTCATAAACTTTTTAAGACTACAGAAGATATCAAATGTAAATAACAGGCTTACATTTTTGATGTATTGTTCCGTAATGTAGGAGTAAAGAATAAAGACAAGGAATGCCATTGACAACTAATGGATCTATCTTTATTGATTCAATAATCATGATTACAAAGATCAACAACCAAGATTTAAACCTTATCTTGTTTTTCTTTAGAAACCTTCTCCCGTTCTTCTGTCTTTTTAGAGGGGGCCAAAAGAGTCCCCTTCTTTTGTTCTCTTACCTAGTATATATACAGTATGTATTCCTCTTTATCCAATGGTCTTTAGCCAGAATACCCTAATCTGTCGATTGTACTTTAGGTCGTCCCCCCTGAATGCCTCGACATGTGCTTCGCCATACAGGCTTTCTGATTGTTCGACCTCGGCTGTGGCCGAGATACCTGTCATTATGGTGTCTTATGGATACCACCACTGCTTAGTCGACCCCTCGCCATTCCTTTTTGCACCGATCCTCGTGTGGTCAAATTTCGACCCATACAGTTAGTCCCTCCGCCTATTGAGGTCATCTTTGGACGAGTTCGATGGGCGAACTTCGTCGATAAGGAAACTTATGAGAAATCTGAGCACCTTGGGCGATGGGCGAATACCTCGTGGGGAGGTAGCGACGTGACATTTTAGGAGTTGCATCCAACCGTCACGTCAGTTCAGAATGTCATCAAAGCTCATCATGCGTTATTATGACACACGTTTTCTATGTATCGTGTCGTTTCCCATGCCCTTTCCGTTTTCAAAATGGCAGCGTTTGACTTTCTCGCGTACGGTACTTATACCCCTATAAATAGGGGAAAATCTTTCATTTGAATGTTGTGCTTTCCAATCACTTGTCACACCCCGTTTTCAATCTCACTAAACCCTTTTAAATTAATAAAAAGGTTTGTAAAGATCATAAAGGGTTTTTAATTAAAAGTGACAAAATTGTGTTCAAAAGAATTTTTTCAGAGTCGCCACCTGACATTGGTTTCGGTGTGCCAGGTCACCATTTTTTTTAAAATTTTTTCCTTTAAAACACTTTGGATTCCAAAACTAAGTCTGCACCAGAGATTCAGGTAAGGGAGTTCATTTGACTCGGGGAGAAGGTGTTAGGCTTTCCCTGAGTCCCGTAACTAGTACGGTTGCATACTCTATCTAGTTGGCTTTAGAGAGTACTCAAATTGAGGTAAACCACACAAAAGAGAAATAAACACAAAATGTTCGAGGTCATCCCCACCAAATAAATAAAATAAAATAAAATAAAATAAGCCTTACTATATTATTTTATGCCTCCAACGATGATGTCACGGTCTCTATTTACATTCACTTCGGGGCATACCCTGAATAAAAATATATACAGAATCTACAGGGTATTCCCCTGATGAATTAATTAACTAAAGGGGCAACCTCTCACCTCGAAACCAAAAGCAAACAAATAGAAAAAGATCCTAAGATTGCCTACCCAGGTGTGGTCGGCCAAAACATGTACTAGCGAACCCAAATAAATTAAGATAAAATAATAAAATTGTTTCCTGAACTCCTTAGTTCATCTCCAGTCCAAACCCGATTATCAATATTACCCTTACAACACACTATAATGAATTTAACCCAAACCAAATTATAAAGCGATTTACAACAATCAGTTCTCATTCTTTAATTTTCTGAACTAAATAAGCTTGAAATAAGGTCAAATCCTACGGAAGGAAGAGTAACCAAATTGAGAGCAGATTCGTTATTTTTATAAAAAAAATCTAGAGATGCTGTGATTTTAAACAAGAACAAATCAATACACAATACATAGAGTAATCAACACTATCACATTTAATTCAAATTCAATCATCATCCAACACAAAACCATATATAAAATAAAGATTTAGAGCTTAAGAGAAATGAAATGGACCTTTGTGAGCAAGCTTTCAATTAAACAGAATCAACCACGAATGAATTGCAAATGAAAATCACTGACCGAATTGAACCCAAAAATCGACATGAGATGGAGACCGCTCCAGCAACCTCGACGAACCCATGGATTAGGCAAACTTGAAACAAAGATTCAAAGAAAGAAATCAAACTCGGGTAGTTTCACCAAATTCGGCGTGATTCTTCTGGATCTCCTATGTTTTTTTATCACTATTTTTGCACCTTTTTTTAATGTTTCAGATCAGTTTTTGCAACCTCTTGGTGCTTCTCTTTCACAATGTTGCTGCTAATAACGATAGTGAGGTCCGGCGGCTTTGAGGTGGTGAGAGAGCGACGACTGTTGTGGCTTGGAGATGGGTGAAAGTGATGGGTTATGGGTTTGCAGCTGTGTGTGTGGTCGCCGGTTTCCCGGCTAAACTTGCCGGTGGAGGGTGGTAGCGAATTTTTGGAGAAGAAGATGGGGTTAGGCGATCGGGGGTCTCTTCCTAGGTTAGGGATATTTTGGTTAGAAGGGTGGTGTGAGCTTAGGGTTCTTTCTCTGTTCGTGAAGATTCCCCCGACCCTCCTCTTTTTTAGGGTTTTTTTATCTCCTTGAGGGAAGTGGGGTATGGGCTAACAAGATTTGGGCTTAGATGTCTTTTGGGTTTTGGGTTGGGTCTATGTATTATTGGATTAAAATTGAGATAAAAATTAGAATTCATAAACTATAGGCCCAAATCTAATTCTTCTTGTACAATAGTATAAAACACCTATAAAAATATAAAATTACTCCTAATTAATTAAAATAAACTGTTAAAGATAAACATAAAATGAAACTGTTTTTGGTATTTTTTCCAAATATCATACTAAAAATAAAAAAATAAAATGGGATTAGATTAAAATCATCGCAAAATTAAAATAATATTCCTACCAAACTACTAATATTCCTAAAAACAAAGTAGAACTGTTTTTGTATTTTTGAATTTTATGAAAGGTAGATAAACTAAAAGTAACAAGATAAAATATCAATTACCTAAATAAAAGAAAATATTTTTTGTAATTTTTATTTATTGTGATAAAATAAAGTAAAAGAGTCAAAACTAGTTGAAATAGCGATATTAGGCCTAAACTAAATATTTAAATACTACAAAATATGTAAAATTTTAGGGAGGGTCAAAAATTACATGTCTACAGCTGCCCCTCTTTGACTGGAAACACGAAGAATTTTCAGACAATGAATGACGAGACATGTTTTTTGACCTGACCCTTATTTAGAGTGACCAAAAACTAAAAGAGAGGAGAATGTGACCGAGCCCTAGTATTTGAGCTTCCTACATATCCTTGGCTATAAAAGGAATCTGGCCACGTGTAGTTCAAAAGTAGGAAGAGTGATGGAGTTTACCGAGGTGGAGAGCCGATTGAGGTGCCGTCGAGGTTCCGGTCTGCGGTTTTGTTATTACATCAAATCAAAATCTAAAAGAACTAAGCAAGCCTATCAGCTATGAGTTACAAGATTCCTATCTATAAGTCTACTGAAACTTGATCTTGAATCTTGAATGATTCTTCATGCAGACTTTGATTTGAACCTTGATGCTTGCTAGCTACAGGT